TAGCAAACACCAAAACCGCAGAAAACGGTTCAGACAGGTTATGGAAAGTGTTGAGCAAGCCACTCCAAGGTTCAGGTAAAGCAAAAGAGATTCTTGAGAGGAGAAATCCATTGGCTTTTGGTCACTTAGCTAACCACCCGGCAAAAGAAATGATTCCAAACGTTATGATATGTCCCTATGACTTCCCCTTGATGGAGAAAGATATGCGGCCTTATATTCCAAATGTATCTTTTGGGGATTCTGGAGAAGTGAAGATGAAGAGATTTGGAACCTTCTGGTTTAAGACAGGAAGTAATAATGAGTTAGATGCTCCGGTTCTGAAGACACTGGTTTTGGTAGCGACGAGGGCATTGTGTGATGAGGAACTACTGCTGAATTACAGGCTGAGCAACTCTAAGAGACGACTGGATTGGTATACCCCAGTTAATGAAGAGGAGGATCGGAGAAGATGGAGCTAAATTGCTCCAGTTTACTTATATGTTTCCTTGAAACTTGAATGGCTCTGTTTTTAGATTTGCTCTGTTTTTTTTTTTTTGGACTAGCAGTGCGACGTCCTTTCGCTGAGTATTTGGCTTTTTGGGTTATAATATTATTTTTAGAAGACTTCTTTTTATCTGTTATTTGTTTTCTGTTATTACGTAATAACCAAAAAGAACTAGAAGAAATCTTTGCCATTTCGTTGAGTATTGTAGGGTGATTGGTCTTAAAATTATCGTTATGATAAGCATGCAGTATTTGTCTTATTAAGAAAAGAAATATCTTATCATAAGATGCTTATGTACCTTTGATTTAAATATCGAATGTTACTGTTTTAATACAAATCAGACTTAATCATGTTCTCAAAGTAAGATTGATGATCTAATCAATAGTATAAACATATTTTTTTAAGCATGATAAGCTAATAAGCATTTACTTCATTACAGTTGTCTAAATTCTAAAAGATCGAAAACCTTTTTTCTTTGAGATTTAGAAACCTAATACAAATAGATAAACTCAAATGTATTTGTGTAAATTCGTATATGACAGAATGATATTTTATATAATTATAGATTTAGGAAATTGAATGATATTCTGTTCAAGACTAGTATTGCAATCTATTACTTTTGATAAATGTATTCATATAACATTATATTATACTAGATGAAGGACCCGCATATATGCGGGTTTTGATTTAATATTTTATAAATCTATAAAAAATAAAATATTTAATTGTGGTGAACAAAATTAGATAACCCGTTAACATAAATAAAATCAAAGTAAGAATGTTAAGTAAAACCATTGATCGAGAAAAAAA